GTGACACTTACGGTAATAATACAAAAAAGTACACCGATGGAAGTATGTTACAAATCAATAATTATACAACTATCACGGCTTTGATAAGGCATTTATATGTCTTGGTATCAACAATTCATTAAATAATTTTTATCTAAATGTCATGTGGTATATACAACTAAACATATACAAACATGTCAATATAGGGGAAACACACCCGGAAACATCGGCATATATGTGTCATTTTCAAATTCTATGCATACAGTACAGTTTCACAATTGAATGCTTAGTAATACCAAGTCAATTTCAAATTCTTGATCGATTTATGATAAGATAAAGTTATTTATTTTATTAAGTCGGGTATTAGAATAGGAAAAATTGTATATTCAATACACTCATATATACATGTATTTTCAAAGCTAAGCAAAGACATATATATTTTTAAGTTATAAAGATTTTTGACAGGTTAAATGACCCTATGTAAACGGATGTTCGGAAATATGACCCCAGCCGCCAGGCGAAATTTATATTTCAAAAGCCGTTTTTATACAGTCATATTACCTGTCAGGAATCCTTATAAAGAAAATATAATACAGCAAACTTCCTTTTTAAGAGAAAAAGGTGAGATTTCTTCATAAATTGACCATAGCCGAGTATATAGAACTATATAAACGTCATGATTGTCCAATGAAAAGCGACGTTACAAACGTGCAGAATAATAAAATTCACCAATGGCTAATTCTACCTTAAAACTATATATAAATTATATCAATGTTTGCTGTAGAATTGCTACGGGTTTGTATACTTTCCTCTTGGCATAAAGCTTTCAAATGTTCTCTTCTGATTCCGGCCTGAAGCGTAATGTATATATCTTATAAAATGTTGCACAGGTCACTTTAATATTATTCTTGTTTATCATTGTTTTAACGAATGCATTATAATGAACATTCGATATTGAAATAGATATATAGCAACTCTCTTCCTCTGTTATAAAGCGTTTCTCGAGTAACTCATTTATTGGTGGTTGTGTTTTTAGCTCACCTGTCACAAAGTGACAGGATGAGCTTTTGTGATCACTTTTCGTCAGGCGTCCGTCCGTCGTCCGTCCGTCCGTAAACTTTTACTTTAAATGACATCTCCTCATAAACTACTAAGCCAATTTCATCCAAATTTCACAGGAATGTTCCTTTGGTGGTCACCTTTAAAAATGTTCAAATAATTTAATTCCATGCAGAACTCTGGTTGCCATGGCAACCGAAAGAAAAAACTTTAATTACTTTCTTTAAAAAACCCAAAGAGCTAGAGCTTAGATATTTGGCATGAAACTTCTTCTAGTGAGTGTCTACCAAGTTCGTTCAAATAAAAGCCCTTGGGTCAAAATTGGCCCCGCCCCAGGGGGTCATTGATTTTCCCTATATGCATATAGTAAAAACTTAAAAAATCTTCTTTTAAAGAACCCAAAGAGCTAGAGCTAAGATATTTAGCATGAAACATCTTCTAATGAGTGTCTACCAAGTTTGTTCAAATAAAAGCCCTGGGGTCAAAATTGGCCCCGCCCCAGGGGGTCATTGATTTTCTCTATATGGATATAGTAAAAACTTAGAAAATCTTCTTTTAATGAACTCAAAGAGCTAGAGCTAAGATATTTAGCATGAAACATGTTCTAATGGGTGTCTACCAAGTATGTTCAAATAAAAGCCCTGGGGTCAAAATTGGCCCCGCCCCAGGGGGTCATTGATTTTCCCTATATGTATATAGTAAAAACTTAAAAAATCTTCTTTTAAAGAACTCAAAGAGCTAGAGCTAAGATATTAAGCATGAAACATCTTCTAGTGAGTGTCTACAAAGTTTGTTCAAATAAAAGCCCTGGGGGTCAAAATTGGCCCTGCCCCGGGGGTCATTGATTTTCCTTATATATGTATAGGAAAAACTTAAAAATCTTCTTTGAAAAAACCCAAATAGCTTGAGTTTAGATATTAAGCATGAAATATGTTCTAGTAATTGTCTATAAAGTTTGTTCAAATAAAAGCCCTGGGGTCAAAACTGGCCCCGCCCCAGGGGTGTCATTGTTTTTATCTATATGTGTATAGTAAAAACTAAAAAAATCTTCTTTTAAAAAACTCAATGAGCTACAGCTTAGATGTTTAGCATGGAACATCTTCTTATGGGTGTCTACCAAGTTTGTTCAAGTAAAAGCCCTTGGTTAAAATTGGCCCTGCCGCGGGTGGGGGAGGGCAGATTATTGTTTTTCATTATAAATTGATACATCATGAAACATCTTCTTATGGGTGTCTTCCAAGTTTGTTCAAAAATAAGCTCTGGGGTTTAAACTGGCCCCGCTCTGGGGGCCTACATACAGGTGAGCGACCTCAGGGCCATCATGGCCCTCTTGTTATACTTTACCCTCCGGAAAACAACAGTAAACCATTATGAACAAGAATTTGTAACAGAGTTACCAACGTCCCTTGTCTAAAGGAAGTTTTATATGAAGCACACAATTGTGCTATTTCAAAAATAATGAGGTATAAATCTGGACTTTCAGTTCAAATTTTTTATCAATGCTAGGCCTGCTCATGCCAGTAACAATAAATTCATTAAAGAAATATAATGAAATAACTCCTGTGTAAGTGTCAACAAAATACATGTGTAAACTTGTAATCACTTATCCAAGTGTGACAAATACAAAATCAATACAAGATATGATCTGTTACAGGGTATATTTCGAGGCATTTATTTGCAAGGGCCTGATATGGCATCATACCCTGTAACAGACTATTTTAGGCTTTGCCCTCCAAGTGTGACCTTGACCTATGAGGTAGGGATCTATCTGTTGCGCATGACATGTCGTCTTATTATTGTTAACATTTGTGCCAAGTTATTTTAAAATCATTTGAATGATGAAAAAGTTATATACCGCACACACAATATACCCCAGAACATACCATATTACGTTTTGGCCCTCAAGTGTGACCTTGACATTGAAGGTAGGAGTCTGGCTGTTCCATATGACACATGGTCCCATTACTGAGAAAATGCCAGGTTATTTCAAAATCCCTTGAACAATAAAAAAGGGGCTGCACACAAAATATATCCTATAAAAGACCATGTTAAGCTTTCACCTCTAAGTGTGGCATTGACCTTGGAGATAATGGTCCGAGTGTTGTGCAGGACACATCGTCTTATTATTGTCAACATTTATGCCAAGTATTTTCAAAATCTCTTGATGTATGAGAAAATTATGCACTGGAAACAAAATATACCCTATAACAGATCATGTTAATCTTTGACCTCCAACTGTGACCTTGATCTTGGAGGTAGGCGACTATTTTTTAAGCATGACACATCGTCTTACTATTGTTAACATTTGTGCCAAGTAATTCAAAATCCCTTAATCTATGAAAAAGCTATGGACCTGTCACAAAATGTACCCTGAAACAGACTATGTTAATGTTTGACCTCCAACTGTGACCTTGACCTTGAAGGTAGGCGACTGGTTTTTGCGCATGACATATTGTCTAATTATTGTGAACATTTGTGCTAAATAATTTTAAAATATCTTGATCTATAATAACGTTATGGACTGGACACAAAATATACTCTTTAACAGACTATGTTAATCTTTGACTTTCAACTGTGACCTTGACCTTAAATGTAGGTAACTGGTTTTTGCGCAAGACACATTACCTCATTATTGTTAACATTTGTGCCAAGTATTTTCAAAATTTCTACATGGATAAGAAAGTTATGGACCGGACACGACATATACCCTCAAAAAGACAATGTTGACCATTAATCACCAAGTGTGACCTTAACCTTGAAGATAGGGGTCCGGTTGTGTTGCATGACACATCGTCTTATTATAACAAACATTGTGCCAAGTTATTTTAAATTCTTTTGATAAATGACATAGTTATTGATCCGACACGAAAATGTGACGGACGGACGGACAGATGAACGGACGGACAGACGGAGCCTCTTTCTTTATCCCCCTTTTTCTTCGAAAATGCGGGGGACAATTAACCAGAGCACAGTTCAGCTATCGTACTTACCATCAAGCAGTTTACCTGTGCTACATCATGTAGATGCTTTCACAGAGCATTGGTACAGTGCAAATGACGGTAGAACATTCACAACGAAAGTAACCTGCACCATCCGGATTTTTTTTATTTATTTGATGATTATATACATGTTAAGAAAATAATCAGGGGGTCGTTTAAGACAAAAGTCGCTTTATACACGTGGTCGCATGGGCAAGTTAGACTGTATTAAGTATCGAAATCATTTATTCGTTTTAGTTAGGATGGTATTATAGAAACAATACGCCTGCTATGTTAGTATACACATGCATTTATAAGTAATTTCTCTATAAGCAGCAACAACAAAAAAAGAAGCTGGAACTCAGCAAGTCCAAGGTCTTGCAATCTACCTAATCAGGTATACATGAAGCATTGATTTAATTGTAATGCGCAGTATTGTTTTTTGTTCGTCAAATGTCATTTGTAACATTAATTACTAAAGTTTGTCTCTTCCTAAAGATTTTTCATAAAGGGTCTACTAAAAGCGATACGAGTACTAATTCTTTACGAAAAATCTCAATAATAACACATCAAATAACTCAAATATTTTAGAAAATGCCTTCATTGATATGATATATACATGATGAATGAAGAGGAACTAAGATGAATTGTTCGTAATATATTCGTTCAAGACTGTTGAATATTGTATTCAGAACTTATATAGACATTTAATTTTGTATCATACTAACAGAAATACTATAATCAAGTTATTAAATACCTGTAGAAAAATCTAATTTCATTTAAATAAAATTCAAATGTAAATCTTGTCAAATATTTGTAAAAACTTGAATATGATAAATATAATATTTCCTGTTTTCAAGTTTCAAAATGTCATTTAAAGATTACACAATAAATACATCGCTTATCAAATGAAACTCGCTTGTGAGTCACTGTGTATATAATCAACTGTGGCGTGCCATAATAATTTATGCTTATTATGTTAGAAACAAAATGGCGACGTGTGGAAACATTTTGTCGTCCGAAGAAGCTTATGATTACAATTGTACGCCTTGTTCTCAACAAGAACGGTTTTTGGAAGCCAAGAGATTTTGTGTAGAATGTGGCGAGTATTTTTGCTCAACATGTCTGGCCTATCATGAGAAGTTTGGTGTTACTAAAGGACATACTCTTATAAAGTGTGAGGAAGTTTCAAAAGATCAAGTTCCAGCACGTCTGAGTAAATGTGAACTTCACACCGACAAGGAGGAGGATATGGTCTGCAGTGATCATGATGTCGTCTGCTGTCGTGTTTGCATAACTACATGTCATAGGTAAATGTTCTAAAATATTTTGACTTTTATTATAAACTTGCACAGGTTTAAAGGATTTTACCTAAAAAATGCACATACAATTTTAAAATCTTCTAAAGATCTAGAACTGTAAAAATGAACATATTAAAAACAAACTAATGCTTAAATATTGCGATTATTACCGTGATTTGAGTTACTGTCGTAGGATGATAACTTGCGCCTTTGTTTACATATTAACAAAACATAATTATATGATCACACATATGGAGGGCTTTCGATGTCAAAATCCCAGACATGTTAAACTGTCATTGTTTTTGTGTCATTGACGAACTGAAATTTATCTCTGTCATTATGGCATTCACTTGTCTTAATTTATAGGTTGGAAGCGTGATTAAGTAATTCGTGTTGTTTTTTTGTTTTGTTTTTTCTCGTGTTTTTTCTTGTTATTGGACTTGTATAAATCTTGAAATGTAAATATCGATATAAATTTATAGATATGCGCACGTTTGCATATGGCTTTTTACATGTGTTTATTTGAAAACATACGTGAAAAAATGCCCTTGCCTTTTTACCAAATTACATCCATATTCTAACTTTAAATGGGATGTTTACAATACCGTTATTGTCGAGATATTCTATATAGTTCAAACATGCATTGTATGGGAAAACACAAAGCAATAAAAAGTACGGAGTTTACCGGTGTTTTTTCATGAGTGCATGACGCTCCGCCCAATAAGCTACGATCACAATACTGTTACAGTATTAGTTTTTCCATAACCTAAGGCCGCGTCTACACCTATTCAAGTTTCTTAGATAAGCTAAATAAATGGCCCTTTCAACATTTTTTACTGAAATTGCTAATTAAGATTGCCCAGGATTTATACCTTTGTCTTTGCAATACTATCATGTTTCTGTAAAATATGTGAATAAATAAGCGGGAAAATGATGCAATTAGCTAAAAACAATGGAGTAAATGAAATGTGTACATTAATCTAAAAAAAAAATTGGAAAATTGGAAAATGTGAGAAAAATATTTTTTGAGCTGATAAATTGATGCAAATTCTTTATTTGAATGTTATTCACTAAATGAACAAGATCATTTAAAATCCATTTCGACTTCTTGAAAAACAGATTTTTTTTTGCTCTTCTGTGTATCAGTGTATTGATCTGTTCCTCTGACCAAGATATTATATACATTTACTAAAATTTACAGGTCATGAACACTGAATCAGTAACAAAAAAAAAGTCAGAAAATGATTTAAAAAAAACAACACTATCACACCCTTCGGGGCACATGTTTTGTGTATCAGTGTCTTGACAGCCAAACACTTAAAGAAAAATAGAACGTGTTCTTAGGCCGTGTCTACACATATTCAAGTTTCTTACATGTCACATTTAGATAAGCTAAATAAATGGCCCTTTCAACATTTTTTCAGGCACAATTTTTACTGAAATGTCTCATTAAGATAGTCTAGGATTTATACCTTTGTCTTTGCAATACTATCATATTTCTGTAAAATATGTGAAAAAAGCGGGAAAATGATGCAATTAGCTAAAACAATGGAGTAATGAAATGCGCACATTCTTTTAAAAATTGAAAAAATATGACAAAAATTTATTTTGATGCAAATTCTTTATTTGATGAAAGTTATTCACTAAATGAACAAGATCATTTTAAATCCATTTTGACTCTACTTGAAAAAGAGGTCTTTTTTATTTATTTTTTTTACAATGTATTAATTTTTATTTATTTTTTTTTTTTTTGCTCTTCTGTGTATCAGCGAATTGATTTGTTCCTTTGACCAAGACATTGTAAACAAAGGTCATGTACACTGAATCAACAAGAAAAAGTCAGAAAATAATAAAAATAACAGCACTATCAAACCTTCGGGCACATGTTTTGTGTCAAACTGGTGTTATCAGTGTCTTGACAGCCAAAAACTTGTAGAAAAATAGAACCTGTTCTAAGGCCCTGTCTACACCTATCCAAGTCTTGAATGCAAGTATCATATTCTCTTGTATTGGATATTGTAGACACCCTACTTGAATGGTTTTTAAAGAGAAATTATGTGACATCCATGAAGATAATTTCTTGCAAGAAAATTAAAATTGGTCAAAGGAACAAATCAATTCGCTGATACACAGAAGAGCAAAAAAAAAACAAAAAATAAATACATTGTAAAAAAAAAAAAGAAAAAAGACCTCTTTTTCAAGTAGAGTCAAAATGGATTTAAAATGATCTTGTTCATGTAGTGAAAAACTTTCATCAAATAAAGAATTTGCATCAAAATAAATTTTTGTCATATTTTTTTCAATTTTTAAAAGAATGTGCGCATTTCATTACTCCATTGTTTTAGCTAATTGCATCATTTTCCCGCTTTTTTCACATATTTTACAGAAACATGATAGTATTGCAAAGACAAAGGTATTAATCCTGGACTATCTTAATGAGACATTTCAGTAAAAATTGTGCCTGAAAAAATGTTGAAAGGGCCATTTATTTAGCTTATCTAAATGTGACATGTAAGAAACTTGAATAGGTGTAGACGCGGCCTAATTTTCTTGCAAGAAATTATCTTCATGGATGTCACATAATTTCTCTTTAAAAACCATTCAAGTAGGGTGTCTACACTATCCAATACAAGAGAATATGATACTTGCATTCAAAACTTGGATAGGTGTAGACAGGGCCTAACTTTTTTGCAATGAATTATCTTTTTGGATGTCACATATTTTCTCTTTAAAACTCATTCAAGTAGGGTGTGCACTATGCAATACAAGAGAATATGATACTTGCATTCAAGACTTGGATATGTGTAGATGGGGGCTTACACATAGCGACTTCGAATACGCTTGGATAGACGCCATCTTTTTGGCTTGAAATTAAAAATGCTATAGATGAAACACTTTTTTCCTGTTTATGTTACTTACAAAAACAATTATGAAACTTAAATTACGATTTATTTTACAAAAATGTTTTAATCGATCAAACCTTCCGTACGCATCGTCTGTATAGGAAGGTTTTTGAGCTAGTGAACTACATTCGGACGTAGGATAAAAAGAAAAAAATGATTTATAAAAATACTTTATTTCTACCATAAATACCTTAATACACAATTATATATACAATAAATATAACCATTTTGATTGTTTAAATTAAATTTTAAATTGCTTCAGAACGCTTCCCGGCGCTTTATTTCTTTCGGACGTTTTAGACCCGCTAGAATGATCTGACTATGATCAAATGGTTACATTTCTGTTAATACTCAGTCATGTAGGGGCTGCGCGTCATGCATGACTTGAAATTGTTTAACTTTGTGAATCTACTTTTGTCTTATTAAACATTTTACAGTGTTAACAAATTATTGTAGTTCTGCAACTGGAAACACGTTTTCTTAAACTCTATTTTCTGTATTTGAGGTGAACATTTCATTTGTATATACCTGTACATTTGTCTCGTCTCAGATACAGATACAGATAGATAGATATATATATATATAATTGTGCAAACTTTCTCATGTATTATATGCAATTAAAAAATTACGAACTTGTTAATTTGTAGTTTGTTTATTTTTCTTACAATGATGGAACAACGGCGTGGGAGAAAGTTAATTTTGCACACAAGTTACTAGTAAATACCTATATAAAATGGTATAAAACTCCTGAAAACATGTTTGTTTTCCCGTAATGTCAAAAACTTCAGCGGAGTCCCTTTAAAACTCTTTGACGGTTTCAGTGTTGAAAATATCACCCCTTGACGATGAAACTGTTCAAAATGCAATAAACTTAAATAAATTTATTTTGATTTAAGGTCATGTCAAAACATTGATTATCTGCCGCATTTGATGAAGAAGTATAAGGAAGACGAAAAGTGCGTAGTGGTAGAGAAGGAAATGAAAGATAAAATCGAGGAATTGAGAACAGCACACAAAGAATACTCTGCTAGAGTCTTAAAGCTAAAAACAAGAAAAATAACGTATTTGAAACGTTTAGAAATGCTAGGTCAATCTATTGACGAGTGTGTTAAAAATGCTATCACCGAGACTGAGAAAAATGTCGAAAGCCGATTTGAACCTGAAATTTGCGACTTGCAAGAACACACCCAGAACTATAACAATATGCTTTCAAAACTCAGCGGTCTGTCAGAGGAGTTATTAGAGGAAAATGATGATATTCTGGAATTTAAAAAGATATTAGAATGTAAACGGGCACTTAAGAAAATTGAAGTTGAATCTTGTGCGTCCGTTGTCAATGACTGCTTAATAATTGACAACAAGTTTCAAAATGAAATTATACAGTCAGTTGTAAGCTGTTTAGGAAATGGGTTATTGTTTGGAACTATATCGATTGGTGGTCCTGGAAACAGTTTTGGTCCCCCAAGTTTATGTGTTAAAGAATGTGAAAGTTCTTCTTTTGTTTTCTTAGCTGACTATAGCAACCACAAAATCAGATGTATTGACAGTGATTTAAAAGAAACTGAAAGTTTTAATGTAGAAGGAAACATCTGGGGGATTTGTGAGATAAACAAACACGAAATTGCATTTACTTTGTCTGGCTTGAAGAAAGTTCAATTGATATCAACTGATAAGGGTCCAGTTTTAAAAAGAAGCTTCATAGCAAATTTACATTGTCGTGGTATTGCATGTTTTAATGAAAAGATTTACGTGACTGGTGGTGGGATGAAAGGAGAAGATAAAGGGCAATTAAATGTGTTTGATTTGGAAGGGCAGTTACTCTGCATTTGTCAAGATTTTCAGGGAATCTTTTTCAGCATTCCACGAAGCGTTGTAGTAAATACCGAAGGAATATTCATCACAGACGAACAAAACGGCGTCATTTGTTTAGATTTGGAAGCACAGAGGAAGTGGGTGTGTAACAACACGTTATGCAAATTTCCTTGGGGAATTTGCTTCACGCCAAATGGGAATCTTTTTGTTTGTGGACGTGATTCAAACAATATTGTGATTGTTAGTAAAGATGGTGAATTTTTAGGTGAACTGTTAAACGAACATGACGGTCTTTCAGCCCCAAAGGCTATCTGCTTTGATAAACGGAACAACTGCATTATAGTCTCGGAATATAAGAAACCACAACTGAAGATATTTTACATTGGTGAATGTGATATATGATGTTAAACCAGTAAATACCATTAAAAGGTAACCTATGATTAGAAAGTGTGCGGGTTAATAATTTGACAAGTTGATTTATGTCAACAAAGCTATTTTGAGAGGGCAGGACATATAAACGGCTTTTAAGTATGATGTAGCTGCAGATATTGACGCGTTGGGGTGATATTAAGATGGTTTTATTTACTATTGTACTCCAATCGCAGGAAATGTAAATAGTATTCTAAATATTTACGAAACGAAGAAGTAAGAATTTATTTATGTACACATATATACTGGAATTGCTCTCTGATTACCAAATCTTTAAATATTCTATAACCACCTCCGAGCCAGAAAAACACTTAATAGGTATTCTTAAAGGTTAGTGATTCTATTTTATCCCTAATTTTCAAAGTATTTCTGTAAATAATTGCTATTTTCCAACGTTTTTATGCCTTGGTAACCTTTGTATATAGGATCCACTTTTAATTTTTCTAGGAGATTGTAGATTGATGAGGGACAGGAGTTTAATCATTGAATGCTATTATTATACTAGATATGAAGAAAACCATGTATCTTTTCTATAATTCATATGCATATATGTAGTACATGTAATAAAGAAAGAAAAATGTTGTAAATGTTTAATTGTTTAATCTTGGTTTGAGGGCTGCAGTTACTTAAATTTTAGATATCAACAAGTTCTTACCCTAAAGGAACCCTGATATACAAGATTAAATCGCATAGTTTAATATAACAAAACCACATTCATATAAATAACAGGGTATTTCATAGCTTTAGTTCGATTGATTTGGAAGCTACCGGTATAATGTTGTTACAACACTCTCGAATCCGTTCCTGGATCACAACCAGCAATGAGTGTAAAGTTTCTTGCTCACGGAAACAGTGTGTTGCCCTTGGTGGGGTTTTTACTCACGAGGCCAACTGTCCTTAGATTACTGCATTAACAACTCGACCACGCCGCCACTCCGAGACAGTTTAAGATGTCCCTTTGTGTACCCAGTAAAAATTGTATTGATGTATATTTTTTCTTTTTCTTCTTTCGAGTGAAAATGTATATTTGTTAGAATACAATGTTCTTGTTCATTCTCTAATATACGTGTGTATTTAATAAGGCAGCAAAAAGAGTACAAAGATGTTATCACGTTACAAATCAATTATCATGCAACTACTATGTACATGTATATGTATTACTAAATATGCTTGTATCAATAGTTAATACAGCAATGTGATTAAAAGTTCGTATCGTATAAACTGTAACAACATTTACAAAAATGTCTAGACTGGTACAAAAACATTCGGCTACATGTGCCTATATGGCACAATCAAATTCTATGAATGCAGTTTACAAATAAATGTATTTATAATTTCAATTCAATAATTGATCGATTTATAATAAATATATCTAGCTCTCTTTTTATATATTATGTATAATTTCAAAGCCATAAACAATTTCTATCAATGGCATATCTACCTTTAGATTAAAAATTTTATATCAAAATTTCAAAAAAATTTTCAAGTTTTGATTTTTTCGTTTTTGCATAAAGTTTTTCAAAATGTTTTTTTGCTTTTTTCAAGGGGAAGGGGAAAGTTTTTAAATCATTCCAAAAAAATTTGCAGGGGATTTTTTAGTTTTATTTTTGTTTCCCTTTTTGTTTAAATTTCATTATTTCGTAAAATTTTGAATTAAAATAGTTAAAAGCATCCTCTTTACTTAAATTCATAAGAACCCCACAGGTGGCAACATTTCCAGGACAGGAAACCCCATCTCCGCAAGGAACGCACAAACTTGTTAAAACCAAACACGGTACAGTGCAAATGACGGAAGAAAAGATTTCATAATCTTTCAAGTGACCCGCATCGTCCGGGAAAACTGTTACTTTTTTGACGAGTTTACAAAAAGTTTCAAAATCAGTTATTCATTTTTGTGTTTTTGGTTTTAAAAAAGTATCCCTTTTTAAATTTTCCAGCTGCACATTTAACTTTTCATTCAATAAAAAACAATAAAAAACCGAACCCCAAAATACAAGGGCTTAATCACTCTTCCCGTCAAACAATTAATATGAAACAATGAAATAATTGTATTATTAAAAAGTGTCCCTATGTTATTTTATTGAACAAAGTTTTTCAAAATGTACATAGTCAAATGACATTAATTTTGTACCAGTGCCTCTTCTATTAGATTTCAAAAAGAAAATATACCCTTGATACCAAAAATGTGTCTTTAGAAAAATGTTGATATAAACACTAATTCATTACAAAATAAGATCGTTTTGATGGCCAGTGCAAAATAACTCAAAACTAAAACGCAAATTACCTTCACATGATCAGCGACCTGAGATTGGGAAGGAATTCTCCGTGCGGTTATCGAACTAAAAAGTAGATTGTATGAAATCATTTTGTCCTCTTTTCATTTCAAAATCTTTTCTTGAAACTTACGTATCCAACATAGACATTTGAAATTAAATTAGTTCATTATTAACAAATGCTCATTTCTACTTTCATTTAAGTTAGATATAGACAAATTATCTTGCAATATTTTTTTATTTTTGTTATTACTTTTATCTGGTAAAGATAATGTTTTCTTTTTTCAAGATACAACATGTCATTAAAAGATTGCACAACATCACTGATCAAATGAAAATCGTTTGTGACGGAGATTTAGAGTGTCCTGTATGTAAACAATTGTGGCGTGCCATAAAACGCGTGTTACAAAATCAATAGTCCGCTTTTATCTACGGTTACTATTATGCACAACTTAACATGTTAGCAAACAAAATGGCGACGTGTGGACAAATTTTATCGTCCGAAGAAGCTCATGATTACAATTGTACGCCTTGTTCTCAACAGGAAAGGTTTGTGGAAGCCAAGAGATTTTGTTTAGAATGTGGCGAGTACTTTTGCTCAACATGTCTGGCCCATCATGAGAAATTTGGTTTAACTAAAGGACATACATTAGTAAAATGTGAGGAAGTTTCAAAAGAGCACATACCGATATGTTTAAGTAAATGTGAACTTCACACCGACAAGGAGGAGGATATGGTATGTGGTGATCATAATGTCGTCTGCTGTCGTGTTTGCATAGCAAAAGATCACAAGTAAGTTCATTTAAAGGTTATAAAACTTTATATCTACTGCAAAAATTATTGTTTAAATTTCATAACAAAAATACTTTGAAAATGCTTGTATAAAAGAATATGGTATCAAATTATATAATAAAAAACGAATGGCAAATACCTGAAATCACTGCTAAATGGATAAAATCCTACGTAAAATAGCAATGTAATATTTTGTTTTGGAACATATTAATGTTTACATACAATGTTCATGTGTGTAAAATGACGTAGACATTCTATGTTTCAACCCTTTCGAGAATCGGTCATATGTTTATGAAAACAATATAGTTTTAATGTAAATAATTAAAAAAAAATAGTCTGTGTCTGTTTGCACTACACCATTCTTCAAACTGGATTTTGCCATTCATGAAATGTGCATAAACCTAACAAAACAATGTACTCCGTCTTTATACATTTAGCACTTTCGATATAAATATTCTTTTTATTTAAATTTTAGTTTTAAATAGCTAACGGTATATATTATATATATTAGTACTAAATGCATAGCTTTTAGATTATTTTTTTTTCAAATTGTTATCATTTATCATTGTGAGCTTTGTCTATAGATCTATATGAAAATTGGGGATAACATTACATGTATAACCTTAATCTTTTGTCAAGAGATAACTGACTTTGTCCTACTTAGTCAGCCATGTTTGATTTTCACTATGAGAGCCCAAGAAGGCCAATTTTCATATTTTCACATAAGTGAAAAACAAAGTTATGTAGAGTTATTGTTCCATAACACATAGTCTCTATAACTGTGTGACATTTCAATAAAATTAAATTAGAGGTTTTACTCCAGACAAGTATTATTAATTTTTAAGAAATAATCAAAAAGAAAATAAGCAAGGTGGTTAGGTGAAATGCAATTCCTCTTACTAATCTCTATCACTGTGTGAAGTTGTTATCAAATTCCTTCACTATTTTTCAAGTTATTCTTCGGACAAGCATTTGTAAATATCATAAAAGGAGATACTTAAAATAACAAGCGAACTAGAATGAAGGTTTATTAACACTGCAATTCCTTTCACTTGTATCTATTACTTTGTAAAATCCTGATCAAAATCCTTCAATACATTTAAGCTTTACTCCGATTAATCATCATTAAGTAAACTGTATTAAAATTTGTAAAGGGACATTATTCAATAACTAAGCTATAGGCCATGGTAATATGAAACTGCGTACTCTCGTTCTTGTCCTATAATGTGTGTCTAGTTTCATTAACATACCATTTATAATTAAGAAATGATACTCCGGACAAGCATTTTAAACTTAATGAAGCTTATTCAAAAACAGCGTAAGGTAGAGTTATGGTTTTTAAACATTGCACGTCATCTCGATCGTCTCTTTCACTGTGTATAGTTTTAATCAAATTCCTAAAATCCTTTTTCATATTATTATGCGGACAAGATGGTGTCTATATGCTCACACTACCAGAAGCATAATAGTACCATTTACAACGACCAAAAAGACAAAATGGCTGTATAGGCGTCAAATTTGGCCAATTTATAGCGTGCGCTAATTTCCAGTTGTTTGTCCCGTTACATTATGTCCAAGGTTAACAATAACTTAAGCATATATATCTTATTACAGATCATGTCAAGATATCGGTTATTTACCGGATGTTGCAAGTACATTTAAAGAGGAGGGAGGACTTGCAATTTTAGATGAAGATTTAAAAAGTAAAATAAAAACGTTAAAACTATCGTATGAAAAACATGCTATTCATGGCGCCCAGCTCAGAATGAGAAAGAAGACAAACATAAGGCGACTAAAAGTGTTAAAAGAATCAATAACTGAATTGATCGAAACTGCTGTGACTGAAGCTGAGGAGGATATAGAAAATTCACTCGAACCACATATTTGCAGTACACAAAAACTTATGGATGCAGCAAAAGAAGAACTGTTAAAATTCAGTATGCTCTCAGAAGACTTGATGAATGAAAACAATGCAATGCTGGAGTATAAGAAGGCCTTACATTGCAAGCGTGCTTTAAGAGAAATTCAAATCAACAATGATGATTGCAAAATGACACATGATAACAAATACGTTGACAAAGTTGTGAAAACTCTTTCTTCCTTTCTGACAGATCAGTGTAGTTTCGATGCTATAAATGTCTTTGGTGGCACTGACACCAAATTTGATATCCCAAATATGTGTGTATTAGAAGGTGGTAAAGTTTGTATAGCAGATTTTCATGGACGAAAAATCAAATTATTAGATAGTGACTTAACTGAGAATATGACCTATGACACACGGTGTTTTATTTGGGGGGTTTGTGCAATTCAAAAACATACGATAGCATTTACTATGCCTTCTTTAATGACAATTGAACTTGTAGGCTTTAATAAAGACCCTGTTTCTAAAGGTAGTTTCAATGCTAAATTTCATTGTCGTGGAATTGCCTTTTTTGAGCAAAAAATATATACGGCTGGTGGTGGATTTGACGGAGAAGAACAAGGACAAGTAAATATATTTAACATAAAGGGCATTCATCTTCGCAAGTTTCAGGATGATTTAGATGGCAACCATTTTTTTGCCCCGAGAAGCTTGTTAGTTGAGGCTAATGCCATTTATGTCACAGATTGTAAAGACGGTGGTGCTGTTTGTCTCGATTTTGAAGGAAGGTGGAAGTGGAAATGTCTCATCTCAAAACTTACTTTTCCTTGGGGAATTTGTTTTACGACGAATGGAAATCTTCTAATTTCTGGACGCGATTCTAACAACATTGTGGTAGTAAGTAAGGATGGAAAATACATTGGTGACCTTTTAAACAAAAATGACGCCATTGCAGCACCGAAAGCTATTTGCATTGACAAACAGAACAGTCGCCTTCTAGTCGCAGAATCAACAATGCGTCATTTGAAGATATTTTACTTTGATGATGGCGAAATATGTAACTTTAATATATAAGAAATGAGACTACAGCTATTTCTTCAATGGATTCCAAAAAAGCCTATTTGATTAATGATGATTTCTAATTACGTATGTAATATGGCTATAGACAAATATATGCGAACATATGTTATTTTACACTGAATAGTACAAAAATATTCATGCAAAGAAGTTTCTCTTTTGTATTATATATATTTCAAAGAACATGCATATTTTACTTCCCGACTGACATTTTATATCTTAATGATATAAATGAACAATTATTAATTATTTGATTCAGCATTATTGTATTTCTTGAAAAAGAGAGTCACGATGGCCCTAGATCACTTACCTCATACCTACTGCTAAACAAGTCTATTTCTATAATGCACGGCTGAAGTGAATGATTAAGTTGAAGTCACGGGGCTAAATTCAAGGTCATATCAAGTATCATTTCGTGTAGAAAATGCTATTCATGATGAAAAGTTGAGGGCAATGCATAACAAGGTCAACAATACTCTGTTATATTTTATCAAGATTGAAGAAGGTATTTTACTTTGTAAAAAACATACCTGGTGCCGAAAATGAAAGAAAAAGATATAAAAATACAAAAAGAGTTTAGCGTCAAATTAACCACAAAGCTTTATAAGATTTTAATACAATAGGCGAGAAATTGACTTCTTGGACGGGACATTTTTACTCTAATGTGGAATTTTGATCAAGGGTTCAACTGAAGACCACTTTATTATGCTACGTCTGTTATATTAAGGTGCATAAATTCTTCTTAGAAGAGTTTTCAAATAGCCAAGAAGTAATGTTAATTACATTGAAATTTAAGGCCGTGGGTTCAAACCGAAGAAGGGTCAACATTTTTCTTTTAACATTATTTGTTTATTATCTCTCATATCCTTTTTGGGAAGAAAATAATGTTTAATTTTAATTATTCAATTAATATAGGTATTTATTGCTTAAATAATGATAAATCTAATAATAAATGTGGTACCTGATATTTTCAAAGTACAATAAAATCAAAATAAGACGGTCAAAGTATTTAATATTTGACAAGATCAACCAATATTCTTTTGAGGAAAAGGGAAACTTTGAAATTATAGGACTGGCCTCCGTCTGTCCTTCCGACTCACAGGAGAGTAATTATGTGGCTAGAGGGACAATAGGTAACTGTTCTTTCTCTTTGATGTCATTCATTCCGTAATGCTTTTATGTGGCTATTTTCTTTTGTGTGGCTAAAAAGAACAATAGAGTAGCCACATAATTACTCTCCTGTGAGAACGTCAGTCTGTCCGTCCGTAACACTTTCGTGTCTGCTCCATTACTTTTAAACCGCTGAAATCTTTTTAAAATAACTTGGCACAAATACTCACCATAATGAGACAAAAGGCAGAGTGCAAAAATTTGGTTGCTAGGTAAAGGTCACACTTTAAGGTCAAATGTTAAAATGTCATAATTTCATAATAAAAAGTATACATTCGTGTCAGCTCCATAACTTTTAAACTGCTGATATTTTTTATAAATAACTTGTTACAAGTGATCACCATAATGAGACGGTGTGCAGAGCGCAATAATTGGGTTGCTAATCCCAATGTCAAGGTCACACTTAAAGGTCAAAAAGTCTTCTTTTCATATTTAAAGTCTACATTTCGTGACCTCTCCATAACTTTTTAACCCCTGAAATCTTTTTGAAAAAAAACTGTCTTAACTGATGACCATTTTAAGACGGTATGCAGAGCGCAATGATTGGCTTGCTACCCAAAAGGTCAAGTTCACACTTTAAGGAAAAATGTTAAAAAGTCTACATTTCGTGCCCGGTCCATTGCATTTTAACCACTGAAGTTTTTAAAAAAAAAACAACTTGGCACAATTGATCACCACTATAAGAACATGGGCAGAGCGCAATAATTAGGTTGCCACCCCCAAGGTCAAGTTCACACTTAAAGGTCAGGTGTATAAAAGTCTACATTTCATGCCCCCTCCTTAACTTTAAAACCTCTGTTTTTTAAATAGCTTGGCACCAAATTTTGAGAAAAAATTTTGAGAAAAGCAATAAAATTTTTTGCTATCCCAAGGGCCCAGGTAACATTTAAAGTTCCCAAAACAGTAGGTTAAAAAGGGATAAAAATTTTGTGTCCTGCCCATAACATTTAAAACCGCTTGAAAAGAAATTTTTTTAAAATACTTGGACGAGTGTCAATTTCATTAATGAGGACGAATGTTTGCAGACGCAATAATTGGGAATTGCTAACCCAAGGTCAAAGGTCACCACTTACAAAGGTCAAATGTTAGAAAATCAGAGGGTTGTGTCTGGGGCCCGCATGAACATTTTAAACCGCTGCAAATTTTTTTAAAGAAAAATCGGGTAGAAATAATCAACCATTATGAAACAAATTAGCCCAGAGGCACAACAATTGCAATCACAAACCCGCTGAAGGTAGGGTCACCACTCAAGGTCCCAAATGTAAAAACATCTAACTTTTTTCATGTCGTGCGCAGCGCTATAATTATATTTACAATGGCAAAGGTTTTTAAAAAAAAACCTTGGCACAAAATGATCTACCACCATGACACAATCTGCAGATCTCAACATCCAGGTTGCTACCCCGAAGCAAACTCCTCACAGTGATATCCTCCCTTGGTAGAATTGTAATCACTGGCCTTCACAGACGTCACATGATGATGAAAGTCACATGACGTAACGTCGAAATTCAAATGTAAATAATCGACCGTTTTACATAGAAAATCTAAACGTCATTTTACTCTTTCTGTTTTATTTTTAACTTTTCGCACCTACGTCCGCTATATTTTATTCAAAAAAATATCAAAAGTATACAAATTAATGGAAAATAAAATTAAAAAGCTAAAAAAAATATAAAAATATCAAAATATTTGATATATTTAAAAGTTTGTGATGGCAAATATCTGTACTGGAATATAAGGGGAGATCACTGCGTAGGAGATTGACCCCGAAGGTCAAGGTTATTTGTTCTCCATAAAACCTTTTTTCAATTTATGGAAGATTTTAAATAACATGGCAAAAATAATCACCACCATAGAGAATATGTGCTTAATGAATATGCCATGACACAACATCAAGGTGCGTGGCTGGTAAGAGGGTCAAGAATTACACATTCAATGTTCACTGCGGAAAGGGGATCTTAGCTGTCCTTAAGGCTGCCTTGTTTAAATTTTGCATACAGGTGCCCTTTTAAAGGTAAAAATCTGACCTATGTTGTCAGTTTTTTAATTCCTTATAGTACCCGTTAAAAGGATGGTCATACCGGTAAGTCCTTTAGCCTAATGGTTGCTGATAGGAAGATTCTTCTATATTAAAAGTTACTCACTATTAATCTGGTGTCACCCGGGCGAGACAATTATGACCTCAGTGCCATGACTTCTACAAACTTGGTGTACATATTTCAAAATTCAGCAGACCGGTCATTTTGGATTTTATAACTTTAATAAATATTAAATAATTATCATTATATGATATTCACCGGCAAAATGTCATATTGACTTCGGCTATCGCCTCGGTCAATAATGTAATTTACCGGGGTATATCACATCATATTCAAAGGCTCACTAGTCAATAATTGTATAATATATCTACTTTAAAATTTGGTATTTTGTTTTGAAAGAGAATACTCCTAAAATACCCGTGTTTGAACATATATATCCTTATGAGTAAATGGTGCATGCTAAGCGGTTAAAATGCTACTTGAAATAAATTGAATTGTCTATAAATGAATACATAAACAAATCTGATATTTTACAAGACACAATATGTACAGCAATCTGTGTATAGTGTCATTTACTCATTAAAAACTAATGTGAATGTACGAAATGAAACAATTTTATTTGTGTAGTTTTACGTTCATACTAGACTATTCTCTTGTGAAATAAACTATAAATCAAAATAATGAAAATGATATGAAACGGTACGATTACGTCACAATGGAGCTTATTTCATTGTATAGATAATGAAAATGATTATCCCAATTTATTTACATTTTTACATTTTACAATTTATCATATTAATTTATTTGTGTATTGCATGCATAGTAATTTATGATAACAATATAACAATTACTCTATCGGGCAGAACTAACTATTGATGAGAACTTAATAATTGAATAGTAATATCAGTCTATTTAAACTTAACATAATTATAGCTAGTGTTAAATGTTGCCCTAATTACTAAAACATATTTTACTAGTCGTGTTTGACTCACTCAGGTAAGTAAAACGTATTTGACCAACACAGGTTACTTTACATGTTAGCTTGTTCATAACCTTATATTCTTGGTGACTGCATGAATTTGATAAATCATACATTTAATCATTTACGAATATTCAGCCACATCTTCATTGAATACAAGCTATTTTCTTAAGCTTTAATCAGTGTAGTGAAATATAATACATATGAACAATACTTGATATTTTGGTATGTCAAAACAAAGAAGATCGAATGTTTTAACAACATATGGCGGTGCTAGGGACTCTGAGAGATGTTTTACTAATAATATATGTCACATGTTGCGGTTCGGTTTCCGAATATCCGTCCAGCGGGGACCCGCCAAGCCTCATTACCGCCCATGGGTGGGTCCCCGAGGGACGGATATTTCGATCCAAACCGCAAATATATGTCAGATATTTTTGTTGCATATTTTATCAACAATTTACGAACATACTAGCTAACACACTAAGCATAGAAAAAAATGCATAAATGCCACGGGAGGGAGATTACCACAATTCGTAGGAAAAAAATGAATTAAAAAAAGAAAAAAAACAAGAAGCGGGAAGAAATACAAGTCGAAAGAGATACATTTTAAGCAAACAGGATCACAGTAAAACATTTAAACATATACTCGCAAAATCGAGAAGTAACCAGATCACAACATGCCTTATCTGACAGTAACTTTTTTTTCTATTGAAGGCTTTGGAACATTGTTTTTAATTCATTGTTTGTTTGTTTTGTTTGTTTGTTTCATTTGACGCCATTTCCCAACAGTATTTCAGTCATATAGGCGGGTAGTTTCCTAACCATCGTTCCTGGAGAGTTACATCAGTACTAGACTCCCTTCCTCCGCGCTAAACTACCAAAGCATCTCCCGGGGATCGAACCCACGCCAGAGAAGTAACTGGATTAGAAGTCATCGACTCTAACCCTTCGACCACGGAGGAAGTTTTAATTAATTGTACTTCATGCAGTAACATATCCTATATATTCATAATTAAATAAAAAATTCCAAAATATTCTTATTCTCTTGATATGTATAATAACATTCACATTTTCAATTAAATCCATGATTTAGAGATGGTTAAACGAGTTTTTGAAATTATATAACAAAATATTTTTTTTCCTGCCATAAAAACCCTTAGGGCCGCCTAATTTAAATCCCCAAAAAGCTTTAACATGCACAATTTTGAATATATTATATATTTTTTGCTGAAAAAATTTATTTTTAAATGAAATACCGATTTTAAAACGAAAAAAAAGAAAATATCGTACTTAACTCGCTTTTTAAAGGGTTTGGGTTTTTTTTCACTTTCCGAATTTAAAGGATACATTTTTTTGAACCCTTTTAAAATCAATTTCATAAAATTTTTGAAAAAAATGAATTTTTAAAGTTCTGAGGACAAAAGGAAAACTTATTGCACCCCAATGAGTTTATGTTTATATTTACGGAATAACGAAAGCTAAAGAATACATATCCATGATAATTAAACATAAAATAAAAAAGTGTCCAGATATTGATGATAACGTGAAAATGTTCATTTTTGCGATCAATTTATTAATAAATTCAGTTTCATAGTTATTGTAAATATAACCAGACATAATCACTGTTGTACAGCGTCCACCGGATAAAGCCCTTCAAGACTCCGAAAACGAAACTAAAAAGTTAACATCGAGTTCACCCAAGGTAATGTTTCAACTTATTTCTCCATCATATCTTCATCGATTTTTCCAAACTAAACAATTTTGAGAAGCTAAATATGTATGGGTTTAGAGCAGTATTTGCTTTTTTCTGCAAATTGAATATTTTTTGTTTAAATCGGCGATAAATTGTACCGTTTTGTTGACATTGCGAACGATATTGATATTTACCTGTAAATCGGGTCCAAAAGGCATTTGTTGTATAAAATCCGTATTTAATATAGCATATAGATGTCCTCTACTTGTATGTGAGTGTTCATCCATCAAATCGAACTGCTTTTAGCAAAATTTGCGAAAAACGACGTTGCCTTGTGTAAAGAGCCTAGCACGATTGTATACGGGGTGTAGATGGAAAACTGTTAGCAAGCGTATGGGGTGTAGTAGGTACAAGAATGCTATATTTTTAGCAAAAAAAATAAATAAACTAAATAAAGTACCAGAGCAGACACATACGCTGATGAAGGAATAACGATCGATGCCGGTAGCAGGGATCGTAAAGTGAAACATTTTATCATTTTTAAAAGATAAAAAAATGTTACTTTGAATAAGAAACATTATACGTAGCATGAATAGCAATGGTAGTGAACCGTTTCCGTCCTGAGCTAGACAACTTTTTATGCGTGATTTTGAGAGAAAAAATGTAAACTCAGTAGACTGAATCATTATATATTGGTAGAACGTTACAGTAGAATTCTATAATTTGTCTTAAACAATATCAAATCATGTTCAAGTTATGCATTGTGAACAATAAGTTTGATAATATTTTATTGCATATATAATATAATTCATCAATTCTTTTACATCAACATAATTACAAAATATACAAAAGGGTTTGGCCAAAAGTTTTTGCAACATTGTCATGGGCCCTTCCCTGTAAGATAATAGCTGACCATATATAAGTATGTAGTAAGGTCACGCAACATCGTGGAAGCATACATATGTTTTATCGTAAACGTTGAATATAAATTTTAAGCGCAGGGGTGTAGCCAGCTTTTTTCAACTTGTAGGCCCATAAAATGGGGTATGGGGCCAAAAACAAGTTCAAATTAAACACAGCAAATGCGCGTTCCGAAGTATTTTCAAGGAAAATTAGCAAACAATAATTTTAAACCATTAATTTGATAAGATGTAAACTGCGGACGGTAGATCATGCATAAGCCTTAACACACTTGATCCGACCACGCCTTCACCAACTTGACTCGGGCCTACATGGCCTAATAGAAGGTACGCCACTTAATGGTCCGTCAAATTACAATCGTTTAACGCAACTTTTCTCATGTGTTTCAATTCTAAGTCGACACATTGCTTATTCAACGTGGCTAAAATGTTTTTTGGAAGACACGTGCTAATGCAGTTTTGTAGAAAATGACGCCCGTGCATAATCTTTTATGTACCTGATCAATTATCTTCTTCTTTTCTATGCTTAATGACTCATCCGCCGTTTCAGGCTCTGAGAGTACGGACCCCGGACATGTCACCAATCATGCCCTTAAATACATGTATTTATTACTATTTTCACTTATTTGATTTGAGTTCAGTAATTCATTGAATGATACCAAAGAATATGCAATCATTTTCATATTTTAATTGAGATAATGCACGGGAGGCCTATGAGACCATTATACACATTATATTCATGCCCTAAGTGTGTGTAAGCATGTGATTGTGGGTCTTATCTAGCCTCCTCTCACAAAAACAAAATAAATAAGAACATAAACATATTAAGAGGCGGCCGGCGGCCAAATTGGCCGCCTAGAACACGTTTTGGGCCGGCTAGAAATCCCGTAGATACCATAAATGAATACTTGGAAACTGCTTTGGGGGCTCGAAAATTTACGATTCGCTCCTTTCGGTAATTTTATGCATTTCCGCTAATTGCGGTTCACTTCCTTGGCGGCACGTAAACATCCAATATGGCGACCAAAAAACGAAAAATTGATCGCAAAATCGACGATTTTTTTTAATTTTCAACCGAAATCAAGTAAGTTTTCTAAAGAATTATATCGATTTGTTTTTCATGTTAAAATATCTTTCGCAGTTTCAATTGTTTACCGTTGACAAATGTTTATTCTTTAGTAAAATTACATTTCGTAAAGCGTTAACTCGGCCCTGTACAAACTCGGCCCTCTAATTACAACATATCAATAATACGACGGATCCTTGTATAAAATTACAAACAAAATTATTCCCCTAAAATTTAAGTGAAGACAACAAATATTATCATAGCATTATCTTTATCTTAAATTGCAAGTATAATGAACCTACATCAGCAAATGTCACAAGTTTATTTTCTTAAAATATCTCAACTGCCCATTTCAACGGAATGAATAAAAGTTAATTATAGCTGGCTAAGTCGTATTATTTTATAAATATTTTTCATTTTCTCATTATAATCTATATTTTATGACTTAGTCATGTTATTTTACAATTATAAATTCATCTTCTCATTATAATATAATCTAAATTTATACAAACAAAAATGAGTATTGCTATATATTTGGTTGTATTTGGGTATTTCGTGCTGCCACAAGAAAAAAAATGTAAAAACCTATCTGAAATAAACAAAACGTACGTTCAGCCTTTCTGTGCCAATTCACATACTTTCATCAATAACTCAAGGCTGTGTTAGTTTGAGGGCCCAGTTGACACATTTTTTTGTATTTTGTATATGTTGAATTTTATTTATAAAAAAATGTTTAAACAGTTTTGTTCACAATTGTTGTTAACTTTATATATTTCCATGTTACAGTTCAATCTCAACACACATTTATATGATAGCTGGATTAAAAAGGGTGAGTCAAAGTAGTATAATTTTCCCTGCCGTATAAAGTTTATTAGAGGATTATGAAAGTATACATTACAGAACAAACATTTTACATGCAAGGCGCCTTGTGAATAAAGCATTGAATCAACATAAATGATTGGTCATTGTATAGTCATGATATTTCAGAAATAAAAAAACAATCCGATTCATTCTGGTAGAAGTTTTGGCAACCAAAGTAGTGACAAACTGTGAATATGATAAGAAAATGACTTAGTATTCCTGGTGATAAACTGCATTAACATTTTTAGACTGTGTAATTCTACATTAATATAAAAAAATTAAAGTCTTGTCCGTCTGCTTGCAAATAAAATACCAAACTGATTATTTTCTGCACTTGTTATATCAATTTAACATAGTCATTATACTAAATGTAAGCATATATGCTATAATATTAAAGAAAGAAAACCTTTAAATACTGCATACAGTTTGGTGAAATATGACAAACTGAACAAATACAAAATTCAACAAAAAGTTCATTGTTTCAAAATATATTTTAGATTCCACTCAAGATGTTCCGCCTAGCATCCAGCTGCACTCCCAGTCAGCAAAAGTTACAGTTAATATAGTCAAGAAGTCTTCGCAGGTATGATGTCGACTATTTGAATTGATGATGTTTGACTATGAAAATTGATGATGTTTTGTTAAATTGATAATGTTTTCCTATGAAATTTGATGAAGTTTGGCTATGAAATTGGATATGTTTTACTATGAAAAATGATGATGTTTTACTATGAAAATTGATGATGTTTTGCTTTGAAAATTGATGATGTTTAACAATGTGAAAGTTGTAGTGATGAAGTTTTGCTATGAAAATTGATGATACTTTGCTTTAAATATTTATTATGAAAAATCATGATGCTTTACTATTTGAAGTGATGTCGCTTTACTATTTGAAGTGATGATGCTTTACTATTTGAAGTGATGATGTTTGACTATGAAATTTGATGATATTTAACAATATGAAGTTTGAAATGATGAGGCTTGACTTTGAACAATGTTAAAATGTGATCATGTGAGAGTATGTAAAATGATGATTGTTGGCTATGAAAAGTGTTTATGTTTGGCTTTGAAAATTGATGATGTTTATTATAAATAATGATGATCAAGTATATCTTGGCTTGTTGTTTATGAACTTTCTACAGTTATAATTTGCAAATAGGTGTGACGGTTTAGCTCAAATGAAAAAAATTATTGTTAAAAGCTGTGTAAAATGAGTGACACAACTAACAATTATGAAGTGCATATTTCAGTGCACCTGCTTCAAGCTTTTCCAGTAGTTTCCATAGTGATTTTTTTCAAAAATGATGCTAAACCAGAGTGGCTAAAGTAGCCCTGAAAGTGCTCAGAATGCAGGATTTTGCTTCCTGGATTTCAAAATTTTCCGGGGGGGCATGCCCCCGGACCCCCCTATCAGGCCTCCTTCATTCACATTATGGCCTCTTACACTAATTCTTAATGCAAACCCTGAATTTTATACAATAATCTATAAATTGACTATATTTGGGTTTTTTTCTGAATAATGTCCTACTGTTTTTGTAAGAAAGCAAGTGGCTACCTGGAATGACACATTCTCGTGATGTAGTATGAATTTAAGTAATAATTGAAGTTAACAATCAATATATTGTGTCATTCCTTGCATCAGAAAGACTGTCAGCTCATAAAAGACTATACAATTAAAAAATATGTGACTGCTAGACACCGTAACATTCTACTAAACTCTGTACATTAAACTTCTATATCCCGTTCACTTAAATTTGTATTTCTTGCTAGACTCTGTACACAAGGAAACACCGTTTTCCGGAAATTTTGCTAAAAGCAGCTGATGCCGTTTGGACCCGATTTACAGGTAAATATCAACATCGTTCGCAACATCGTAAACTGCCAATTGTAAGCTGCGGATCTTTCCATTTTATAATTTGCTGATCTTTTATGTTTTCGGTCTGAAGCTTCGAAATTTGTGAATTTGTAGCGTATTAAATAAGGAAGTGCTTATAAGACATTTCCGACCGTTTTCATGTTTGTTATATTCTGGGTATTCTTTAGGCTGTTAGGCTGCGAACGTCATAAATTTCGAAGCTTTTGAATAAAAATGTTTAAGTTCAGCATCTGTAAAAGTAAAAATCATGATAGTGAACATAGCGTTGAAAGTCCGCCCATTTATATGTTTTTAATATTCTTAGTTTTCTTTAGGGTGTTAGGCTTCCAACTTTCGAAGCGTCAGAATGAAAACTTTAGTGTTTAGCATCTTTGATAGTAAAAATCATAATGAATTGAAAAAAGAGTGGCTATAATGCATTTCCGACTGTTTTCATGTTTGTAATTTTTTATTTTGTTTTTCTTTATGCTGTAAGGCTGCCAACGTCACAAATTTAGAAGCGTCAGATTGAAAACTGTCATGCTTATTATGCATTCCTCACTATTTTCATGTTTGTAGTATTCTTAGTTTTTTTTTAGGCTTTCAACTTTACAAATTTGGAAGCGTCAGAATGAAAACTTAAAAGTTCGGCATCTTAAAAAATAACGATTATGATATTTGATATTAAAAAGTGTGGAATAATCTAAGGAAGTGCTTATTAAGAGGTTAATACACGGCAGGAGAGGGCCGGAAGGTGATAATCGGCCCGCAAAATGAATAATGGACCCGAGGGCTTTAGCCCGAGGGCCATTATTCATTCAGGGCCGATTATCACTTTCCGGCCCTACTCTGACGTGTATTAATGTCTTTAATACACTTGGTAAATCTAATTGTAGCATTTTAAAAAAAAACAACAAAAAAACAAAAAACAAAAAAAAAAATACTTTGAAGTTCTTTCGTTGAAATTCTTGTCTACTCTTCTACTGTTCTGTACAGAGACGTTTAGAATCTACTGTTTGTGTGTTCAAAGCAGTAGAATTTACAAGCAAGTTTTTTTTTCATTTTTTTTTCGGAATGAATTTGTCGTATTATTTCTTCAAATTTCAATAGTAACAATATTGTGTTTGTACTAAATACGCTTAAGCTCTTATAATAGAAATAAAGCGATTCCTGCTGACAACCTACTTACACTTTTACAGTTAACTGTTTGATGACGTAAAATATGACGTCATTGTTTCAGTTTGTGCACGTGCACATGTTCTGCGGGCTGATAACTAGTTCTCGGCCCCGGGCCGCAAACTCATAATAGGTCACGTGACACTCATAATCAGTTGAAATCATAGGCGATTTTGTTACTATATATAGTAACAAGTGTATTAAAAAGTATTTTCGACCGTTTGTAATATTCTTAGCTAGACTGTTAGGCTGTCATTTTTACATACAGCAATATGTGTGACGCTTTGATGCATATAATTGAAGCATAAAGTTGAATTTTGTCAATTATTATGCATTTCATAATCCTGCATTTTGTAGGATATGTCTTGATGATTAAGTAAACATCTTCAATCGTTACGATGAGTTTTTGTAAATTGCCAACCGTAAACAGCGGATGTTTTTATTTTATAATTTGCTGACTAAATCTTTATGTTTTGGTCTGACGCTTCGAAATTTGTGAATTTGCAGCGTAGTAACCTTAAGAAATCTTAATTAAATAAGGAAGTACTTATTATGTATTTCCAGCAGTTTACAGGTTTGTAATATTCTTGGTTTTCTTTAGGTTGCTAGGCTGTTAGGCTGCAAACTTTACACACAACAATTTGTGTGCAGCTTTGATGCATAAAAGTTAAGCAAAACAATGAATTTTAACAAAAAATGTGCATCGTTTTGTCCAGCATCTTATGGCCCATGTCTGGATAAGTAAGTAAACATCATCTTCAATGGAGACGATGAGTTTGTGTACACTACCAACTGTTAACTGCGGATCTTTTTATTTTTTGATTTGCTGATCTTTTATGTTTTCGGTCTGATGCTTCTAAATATGTAAAGTTAGCAGTGTAGAAGTCTTAAGTAAACAATTAAATAAGGAAATGCTTATAATACATTACTGACCGTTTTCATGTTTGTAATATTGTAATGTTTTTCAGCCTGACAGCTGCCAACGTCGCAAATTTCAAAGCGTCAGAATGAAAACTTTAGTTCAACATTTAAAAAAAAACGGTTATGATATTGAAAAAAAACGTGAAATGATCTTTGTAAATGCTTATAATGCATTCCCTCACGAAACTTCACGAAAATTTAAAATGAATTAAAATCTTGAACCTTTTTGTTGCATCGCTTAGTTTTGCTCTATGTAATATATTAAGTAGACTGTTACAGTCACGTTCATTGTTATTTGAACCAATGCTACCACGGTCAGTTTAGTCATTCGTTTAACAATAAAGTGTAACAAGTTCTCCACACTGCTGTGGACATGAATAAAACATACTTTATATGAAATATTTATACAAATTAATAAGATTTGCAGTGAGTCATGTTTCAATTAATGATCAACGGGTTATGTAAGCGTACCGGTTTGTAATAGTTTTAAAATATTATTATTATTATTCAAATGTGTGCAGGAAATGTATACTTCAGCCTAGAAGAGTTGGACTTCCCGTTTTTAATCTACTTGTTTATTTAAATTAATAAGAAGTATGAAATTACATATCAATGGAAAATCAATTACCGGTACTAACTTTTTAAAAATAAATGGGACTACAGTATTACTTCCTGTTTAATATTCCCGTGCTTGTTACAATGAAGAATCTAAACAACATACCTAACTTTCTCTTCTCTTTATGTATTTCATTTTAACCCATTACTTCATGAGCATTTTGTGAAAAATGGCTGTTTTCATTGAAAAGTCTCCTGTTACAAGTTCAATTTGCTATAATACTATAAAAACTGCTTCAACACTAATCAAACTTGGCACAAATGTTGACTGGACCATTGCCCTTGCAACAACATGCTCAGGCTTAAATTTTCTGTTACCATGGCAACGAGGGGACATCTCAAAATTGCCAAAAATCACTATTTTGCGTTGATTTTTCCATCAAAATTGATTTCAAAGTGCTGCAACTTCTCAATGGATTGAGATAAAGTCAAATGCTTTTCAGCGTTGGTTACACGTTACCTTATGATCAATCTGGGGTCATTTACAGCCTCTCACAAGTCCAAAATTTTCTTGGCGATGAGGGGGACTCCGCCCCCCTTCAAACCCCCCAAACAGAAGGGGGCACATCCCCCTTCTGGCAACCCCCTGATGTATCTTTTGGATGGGGGGCCGCGCCGAAAAAGAGGTCACTTTTTTAACAACATTTCTCAAACAAAAACAAGTGTTTGGGGCCTAAATAAGGCATTTTTTCATCATTTGAGACAACAAAAAAAGGGGGGGTGAAAAAGGCGTTAAAAGGCGTGTATATGAAGTAATGGGTTAACAGAAAATGATGAAAATACTTGAAATTACCCTAAATCGCGTTTTTTCATGTTTAAACATGGCCTGTCATATAAATTTGAAGAAAAATTCTTGTTTTGTAGATTTTTTGATTTTTTTCATTAACAGAAAATGATGAAAATACTTGAAATTACCCTAAATCGCGTTTTTTCATGTTTAAACATGGCCTGTCATATAAATTTGAAGAAAAATTCTTGTTTTGTAGATTTTTTTATTTTTTTCATTAACCCATTACTTCATGAGCATTTTGTGAAAAATGGCTGTTTTCATTGAAAAGTCTCCTGTTACAAGTTCAATTTGCTATAATACTATAAAAACTGCTTCAACACTAATCAAACTTGGCACAAATGTTGACTGGACCATTGCCCTTGCAACAACATGCTCAGGCTTAAATTTTCTGTTACCATGGCAACGAGGGGACATCTCAAAATTGCCAAAAATCACTATTTTGCGTTGATTTTTCCATCAAAATTGATTTCAAAGTGCTGCAACTTCTCAATGGATTGAGATAAAGTCAAATGCTTTTCAGCGTTGGTTACACGTTACCTTATGATCAATCTGGGGTCATTTACAGCCTCTCACAAGTCCAAAATTTTCTTGGCGATGAGGGGGACTCCGCCCCCCCTTCAAACCCACCAAACAGAAGGGGGCACATCCCCCTTCTGGCAACCCCCTGATGTATCTTTTGGATGGGGGCCGCGCCGAAAAAGAGGTCACTTTTTTAACAACATTTCTCAAACAAAAACAAGTGTTTGGGGCCTAAATAAGGCATTTTTTCATCATTTGAGACAACAAAAAAGGGGGGGGGGGTGAAAAAGGCGTTAAAAGGCGTGTATATGAAGTAATGGGTTAAGATACTTTGCCAGAACAACAGACAAGATTTTGTGTTGTTTTAACTGCTTTTTGAACAACTTTTTGAACTGATTTTTTTATAAAGCGACGAACTTAATATAATATTTCTGGGAAAATCAAACAAACATAGAATATGCTTTTCAAAAGGCACGCATAATTTAATGTTTTTTAACATCAAATTTTCAGATAAAGAACCAAAAGACTGATAATATAGGTTCATTGTTAATAACAAGTGTACTCAAAATATCATACATAATTCTAAAACATTTTAATAAGATCGGAGACTGTCGGTGAAGTTAAACCTACTGAATAATGAAACCATTTAATACTACAAAAGGCATTAGCAAGTTGGCTTAAAGAATTCGAACATTGTATTCAGTAGACAGATACATGGAGCGTATTGGCAGGTTAGGTCTTTCATAGTTCAGTCCATTACTCGAATCCCAGGACCAACTTTGCGTGAAGCCACCTGAGTAGGTCTGCGAAGTGCTCCAAGCCATTGAACATTAATAGTCTTGAGACAAAAAGCTTCTTTGTTAACAATAACGACTGACAATTCCTCTTCGTCAGATCGATATACAGCGAAAAAACATACATGAATAAAAGAAAAGTATATACATAATTACAACACAAAACAATGTATATAGAAAACATATGTCGCCAATACCCGAAACACAAAAGGTATTGACCCACTCAACTGTCGTCTTCTTATGGCATGAAATACGGCGAGGCTTAATTCTTGATTCAACTACAAAAAAACCCAAACCACTGAGCGAATGTTCTGAAATATTTCACAAAGTTATTGGTACAGATCTACATCAAATGGTCCATATTTCCACTCCCGTCATATAAAAAATCTCAGCGGAGTCGCTTTAACTGTGTAATACATGCATATGTATGCAACAATTATGATTCAATTCATAATCTGTTCAGTAAGATCAGTCCAAAATGTGTCAAAGTCTTGATCATTTTTTGGGTATTCAAGGGACCGTTCACTTTGTAGAAATCTCATTATACAAATAGGCAATTTATTTGATGGAATGTCTTCCATTAACACAATGATGATCATTTTTCTCTTTGTTTCGGTTGATTCAACATGTGCCATGTTCATTTCATAGTTACACCAACTATCATTGAGGTATGCCTTGTCCATGAGTAGAACAGCCTTCCGACTGATATTTTCGGCTATAGATGTACCGGGCATTGAATTCCTGTCTGCCACCCAAAGGCGAAGACCGCGCTCCTCCTCGAGAGAAGGAACCATGTAGCGTTTAATAAAACTCGCATTGCTCTTTGCATAAGACACGAACGCGTCGTTCTCAAAAAGACGTTCGAATCCCTCGTGCTTAAATCTTCTATTTCGTCTGTAATATATGTATCTTAGTTTCCAACGATATCTATAAACCACTAATGCAGTTATAATACTAGATAGACCTCCAAACACTACACAAACAGTTCCAACGGTCCATGTGATCCAGGTTTTATCGTTACAAATATCCCTTGTTAAAGTGTCTACTAAACTCTGTAAATCAGTAGTCGTCGATATATTTTTCTTTTCTGAGTTCAATAAACATGTATCAATTTTAATATGCACTTTGGTAGACAACATCCAATAAAAAAATGGTAAATTTTCACAGTCACATTCAAAGGAATTGTTTAACAATACCATAGTTATATTGCAAGTACCCTCTTCGCATACTTTATTAAGCTGATTTTTCATTTGTTTAGAAAAATGTGAAAGTTTATTTTGCGATAAATCTATGAGTCTGAGAAATTGGCTTTCCGGTAGATCAAAGTTCCAATCACTCAAACGGTTCGAATGCAAATATAAATGCTGAATATTGGTTAGCTCTTTGAATATGTCAGGATCAGCAAAACAGTCAATTCTGTTATGTGACAAATCAAGATATGATAACTGTTTCAAACTTTTGAATATTCGATTAGTCCGATTTGATAATGGCTGCCCCAACGAGATTCCTAGCCTATTTCCTTCTAAATTCAATTTTTGTAAGTCTGTAAAATGGTCAAAAAAATTTGGAGATATCTCACCGCAGTCATTTTTCGAAAGGTCTAGTTGTTTAAGATTTTCCAGACCTTTTATCGAACTTCTCCATTCAGTGAAGAGATTGAATGAAAGATCTAAAAATTGAAGTTTTTTTGCTCCACATATAAAAATATCAACGTCGAAATAGAAATTAAGGAAACTCTTTTTCCAGTTTAAACGACGTAAATTAGGAGGCAAATTAATAGAGCAACTTTTGTCATGTGGATAAGGTTGAACACTTTTCAATTTTGTAAAACAAATATCGTCTGCAATACCTGATTTTTTATCTAGTACCTGCATTTCAGAGTTTTTGCCTATAAAAGGATCGTAAGATAGATGTTGTCTTGATATGTCTAGGCATGTGATACTGGTAGCGGTGTGAATAAAACTGATATGGTTGTCAAAAGAAATTCTATTCCCTGCAATTGCTAGAACCCGGAGTGACGAAGGAAATATACTTGCAGGATAAAACACTTTTTTAGCAATGGTTTCTATGTTATTAAGATCCATGAAAAGTTTCGTCAAATTTCTCAGCGTTATAAGGTTCTGCAGGTGAGACACCTTTAACTTCACGCACTGTTGGTACATGTTATGAATTCGGTTAATATTTAAAATCGATAAAGTTGGCGAGAAACGTAATCCATGTAAACCTTTGTTCATTCCAAGAAAACGAAGGTTCTCGTTGTAAGATAAATCAAGGTGGGTTAAACTTTTGTTCATTGGCTTGAATGCATCTGGTTCTATTGTAGTAATATTACATGATGACAGCCAGAGCACCTTCAGCCTAGTTAGACCTTCAAAGGTGTAGTTGTGAAGTTTTGAAGCATTGCATGCACCAGTTGAGCTGCCAGATAAACTCATTTTTTTCAAATTCTTAAGTTTTTCAAATTCTTTACCAAATGTGCAGTTGAGGCAAAGTTCAGCATAAAATCCTTTTAAATTTTGTAAATATTCCATCTCTCTACCAAAGCCATCGTATGTAACAAATTTGTTATCTTTGATATTTAGCAATCTAAGTTTGTTCAAAAATTTAAAAACACCTTTACCAAATCCATTCGGGTACGAAAGAGAGTTTCCTGATAGATTTAGGTATTGTAAATTTTTCAAACCTTGAAATGCTTCCGTTGATATGTACCGAATGTTCGAGTAACTTAAATTGAGCTCTCGAATCGTTGAAATTCTCAAATTAATCATATGTAGAAACGTGCCATTTTTGAGGAGAGAAAATGAATTTAAACTCAAATCAAGCATACAAACTTTTTCATGTATAGGCCTATCTAATTTTGGGTAGAATCTTGGAACCTCAGTCAAATTCAAATTTCTACAATTCATTTTATAGTTCTTTTTTGAGGTTTTATAATCATCAATTGTACATTCGTTGATTGCCTGTACAAATATGATAGCAGTGACCAAAAAGGTGCCGAATACACGCGCAGTGTTCTTCATATCTACAGTGTGTCTGCAATATAAAAGAAAACTATTATATACACCATTTAAGTTTCTTTAAAAATCAGATGCTTAAACATTAAGTATAATTTATAGAATAATACCATAATGAATCCATAATGAATTAACAATAAAAAAACTAAATCTATGTTACCTTTATCAATGTTAATAGTTATTTTGTCAATAATACTTTTATATATAATATTATATGAAAATCATACAATATCTAGTTATTTCCTCATCACTTAATGACTTTCTCACAATGATTACCATAGCTGACAAACCAGTTTAACCTTTGAGTTATAGTTGACAATTATCTTTTTAAAATGTATTTTATTTCCTTTTGTGTTTCAATATACTATTATTTGTCACGGTAATAGTTTAATTTATGGGTTTCAGTTAGCCATCATGTTTTTATGTTGTCGCTATAAAGGCGGAATCGCAAAACGGGATCGCCAAAGGACAACATTTGTAGTTATGTTCACGTATATGTACTCACCATATCGTGTTGTCGCATTTTAGCTCTCAATTTTCTTGTAGCGTTCTTGCAATTTGTTCAAAGATTTAGAAATCGATTTCGTATTAAGTTGTCGATTTTCATATCGTGTTTTCGACAGCCCAGTGACTAGGTTGGCGACTATGAGTACCTATTTAATAGCATGAACACACGATATTCACTTATCGTGTTCCAACGATCTTCCGTATTTTCACCCATCCATTTTGCATAATTTACCTCTGCGTTATAATGTTATCAACTATACTGTGGTATAAATGAATTTTGCTTACAAACAAAATATCCAAATAAAGTGTTTCTTTAGTGAAAAATATTGAATACAGAGAAAAAAAATGAACACTATTCCGATTGGCCAAACCGATAGAGTTGACTGTATTTGTTTACATACCGATTATCCACTATTACATTACACTCATTTGTTTTTCTTTCTTCTTTTTCATATATTCCTTATTGAAATTTGTTTAAGGACAATTTCAACACGAGCAAAGGAATTTCTTTTTCCTTCTCCAGAAAATGCACAAATGTCTCTACTCGGACAGTATTAATACACTAAGGGGGAGCCGGATGTATTTCTTAAATTTGAATAAACGTATTTTTAAAGGGTGGCTTAAAAGCATTATTAATATAAATCGTTTTCTCCGATTATCCGTAGCCTACAAATCAGTATCTATTTAAATTGCTTCGTCAAAAAAAATCATTTTTAAGAATAATATATAATATTATATGCTCAATGATTGAAAGGGGCTGTATGGAAATTAAGAGAGCAGAAATATATTGATAAAGTCATATTTTAATACTTTTTTCATGTTATTCATTACCATGAGTAAATATGTCTTTACAATCGCACCTTAACATTAAACAAATTGAGTGTGTTATAGTAATAAATTAATGTTGTTGATGCGTGTTGTCAGAGTCACTTCATACAAACAGAACTCTTGATAAATGTAATATTTCCAACAATACTATATGGTCTTTAGAGTGACATGGTAAAACCACATTGACCCTGCCAGTACACCGTGTAATTTTTATTGTTCATTTATTGCTTATTTTCGTTAAATGAAGAATGTTTGGTTTAAGGTTCATCAGAACATGTAGTGAGGACTGAAAGAAAATTCGCCATCCGTCCGTCTGTCAAACTGTCATGTCCATTTGTCTGCCATCTACATTCTATTTTTAAACTTATGCAATAGGTTCACTGTTTCTTTTTCCGTCGAAAGAACGATGGTGAAAACACGACATGATATCGAGCTTTCACCATCTTGGTTTCGTTATGTCGACTTTTCACCATCGTAATTTCGTCGTTTTCATGTTTTGTGTGTGTCACGGTGGCCCAACAGGACACCGTAGGTAAACACATAAACATTGATAGAGATGATAGAAAATTCCAACAATGTCAGGGTAATGATATTGAAGATAAATAGATAAATTTTTCTTTGCATTAGTTTGTCCAGTTTATCCACCTTATACTGCATTTAGGACACAACACATTCCAAGATCAAACATGCAAGCAAATTATTGAAAAAGACATTTGATTTTTGGAAAAAATAATCATTAAGCCTTTATAAATGACATAAATATTTTTCACGTTTAAGTGTTTGTCCACGCATTTATTTTGAATTATAATTAAATTTAAATTTGATAACAGGAAAATATATTGTAAAAAGTAAAATAATCTATGCATGAATAATACATTGTAGATGTTAAAGTTGACAAATATATTTTCTGTTCTGTCCTGTTTTGTCATAGCAACATTCATATTATAAGACCATCAAAGAAACACCGAAACACCGAAACAAAGTCATATATGATCATGCTATATATATTTATCTGTATTAATTTCCCTTTTGAGAAAAGTGTGAGAAAATCAAAAAGATTAATAACAATTAAAGACGTTTTAGTATTTTAACAATAAGATGACTAAAAGAACATACTTTGTGATTCATTTTATGAAAGTATGATTTATTTCTCAGATAATTGCAACTTATGCTCATCAGACAAACAGATCATTGAGGGTCTAAATTTTTCACACGGACTGTAATATTGTCATCCAGATAAAAATGTAACTATGCATTTTTAAAACAATAGTTATATAGTATTCACTGGATTCATATTATATCTTCGACATAATTTCTTATCTTCTTATAATATTTCTATACTGACCTTCAAACTCTTAAATATGCAATGAGAATATAAATCTCGCCACCGCATATATCATGGCGAATAGCCAAAGCGAACAATGGTTGTCAAAAAACGCCTGTAGTTTAGCAAAGGGCATGATGTGATACAATTGTAACTGATTTAATTGAAATGTGTATAACAGATTGTGACCAATAATGTAACAGTTGCTCTTCATTGACATAATTAAAAATAGTATCAAAATGAGTCTGAAAGGTAAATATTTGTCAATTTTGATTGAACACATAACCGCATGAGCATTTTGCGATAAATGGCTGTTTTCATTGTAAAGTATCTAGTTACAAGTTCAAATTGCTATAAAACTATAAAAACTGCTTCAATACTAATCAAACTTGGTACAAATGTTAACTAGACCATTGCCTTTGGAACAACTAGCTCAGTCTTAAATTTTCTGTTACCATGGCAACGAAAGGACATCTCAAAATTGCCAAAAATCACTATTTTTCTTTGATTTTTTCCATCAAAATTGATTGCAACTTCTCAATGGATTGAGATAGAGCCAAAGGCTTTTCATGGTAACCGTTGATAAAACACGTTACCTTATGATCGACCTTGGGTCATTTTTAGCCTCTCACAAGTCCAAATTTTTTTTGGCAACCCCCTGAGGTATTTTTTCGATGGAAGGCGGTGCCGGAAAAGTGGTCACTTTTTTAATCAACATTCTCCAACAAAAACAAGTTTTGGGGGCCTAAATAAACATTTTTTCCACCATTTGAGACAACAAAAGGGGAGTGGGTGAAAAGGAAGTTAAAAGGCGTAAATATCTGGTAATGGGTTAAAGACCCTTTAAGCCGAAAAATGAAAATATTTTCATTTTTCAAAAGTTTTTAGACTTTCCAAACTGTTTCTCATTGATCATGTTTTGCTTCTTTGTCGCTTTGGTAATTAGTATAGATGTGGGAGAAGTTTTATACCTATTTGTTTACATTTTCCTACCTTTATGCACATTTAACTTTCTTTACTTCAAGTGAAGGACCTGAAAGGTTCTAAATCCACCATGACTACAACATGTTTATTTGCCTTTTCTACATTAAGAAAAATATTTATTCTTAAGGCTTAATGTGCCTTCTAAGTGCCGCACACAATCAATTTTGAGATAGAAAAGGTGTTCATTTTAGATGTTTTATAAACACTATTCTTACTTTTGATATTTAACAACTCAATCATCGCCTGCATAGTTAGACACTATAGTAAAACTTAAATCAAAGGATGATGACACACCATCAACTACAGAAATTTACAATTAAAAAAAATAAATAATAAAAACCCCGATATTGATGAGGAAGATGATCGTTTTTTTTATCCCTTGATTTTTTAGAACATTCTAACCAATATTTAGATGCACCTATCTCTGATGTTTTAAGATGTATAAGAAATTTAAATAACGGAAAAGCTTGCAGTCCCGCTGATAATATATCAAATGAGCACATTAAATCGACAAAAGACCTGCTTTTACCTATTTATAATAAACTCTTCAACTCAGTATTAAACTCTGGCATTATTCCAAAATCCTGACTCGAAGGGTTCATTATCTTTATTTATAAGAACAAAGGAAACTCATTAGACATTAGTTCTTACAGACCAATTACCAGTCTATCAAGTCTAGGAAACTATTTACAGCAGTCTTAAACTTAAGTCTAACCAATTATATTGAAAATACGCATTTACTTAATGAAAATCAAGCAGGATTCCAAAGTTCGTATTCTATTTCTGATCATATTTTCACGCTTCATGCACTTATTGAGATCTTAAGAAAAAGGAAACAAAAGGTTTATGGTGCCTATGTAGACTTCGAGATCTCACAATGTTTTGATAGAATTTGGCGATTTGGACTCTGGCAAAAACTTACGCAAACCCTTATCGATGGAAAATTCGAACAATTTTTAACATGTATCAAAATATTTAACCTTGTGTAAAGCATAACGGTTACCATTCCCAGTTCTTCTCTTTAGAAATAGGAGTCCGACAATGCGAGGATTTAAGTCCAATCCTCTTTTCTTTATACTTAAATGATCTACAAACATTTCTGGAGGCACACGGTGCCGCTGGTATCGAGCTAGATGAACCTTGGCTTAAACTTTTAATTCTTCTCTACGCTGACGACACCGTAATAGACTCGGATAATCCTGTCGAATTTCAACAAAATTTAAATTATTTAACTCATATTGTATTCAATGGAAATTTACTGTTAATCCAAATAAAACAAAAGTTATAGTATTCGGAGCTATGAATAGAAAATCGTATCATTTTGATTTAAGCGAACACGAACTTGAAATAACTGACAAGTACCATTATCTAGGTTTGACATTTTCTGCGTCCGGTTCATTCTTAAAGCTAGGCATCATATAAGCCAACAGGCAAATAAAGCAATGCATCTTCTATTTACAAAAACAAATAACGCAGACCTACCACCTGATCTAATAATAAAGTTATTTGATTACACTGTTATGCCGATTCTTACATATGGTTCAGAAATATTTGGTTTTGAAAATCTAGATTTATTTGAAAAACAATCATAACGTCTTTATGAGACAAATAACATCAGCTAGGAAAAGCACCCAAAAATATATGTTCAACGGTGAGCTTGGAAGACATCCCATTTATATTGATGTATATGCTAAAATGATCTCTTTTTGGTCACGTTTAGTGCTTGGAAATGAAAATAAACTATCCGTTAAAATTTACAATTACAATTGGACTGATACTAAATTTAAATGGACAAGTAAAATTGAAGAGATTCTCGTGAATGTAGGAAGACCTGATATTTGGCAAAACCAGCACGTTTTAGTACATAAAAATATCCGCAAAATTGTAAAAAAAACTTTAATTGATCAATTTAAACAGCGTTGGTATTATGATCTACAAGCGTCGAATAAAGATAGAATCTACAGCTTATTTAAAAGCACTTTAGAATACGAGAAATATTTCAATATACTCCCAAATGAAAGCTACATAACCTTATTCAGATTTCGTACATGTAATAACCGTTTACCAATTGAAACAGCGCGTTGGGGACGGGGAACCGCTTTTCTAGATAGCACGTGTAGACTCTGTAACTCCGGAGTATAGGCTCGGAGCAACATTATTTACTTAAATGCTCCTTCTTTAATACAGAAAGAAATTCCCTCCTACAGCAAATTAATATTTCAGATACCGTCCATTGTTTTGCGAGAATATTATCAAGTGGAAATGAAATTACTCTTTCTAATTTAAGTAAATTTACTAGCATTATTATGTCTAAATTTAACTAGCATAAGTTTTGCAATAGAGGAAATAGTTGCGTTCCTTTTTCTTTCTTCGTTTTCTTCTATTTTTCTAAATGAACGTGTTATCATATGACAACACTAAGATATTTTGCATACATTTATACTACCGTGTCCTGGAAAAAAAACTTTACCTATGTAATAAATCCCAAACATACGTTTTTCTCCAACATGAAATAAACAAACTTATGAATGACATTCTTTTCCGTTGTAAAATTACATGTATAAAATCCATGATTTTTACGTGAATAGCTCACCAACTCTCCCTACTTAAAAAAACTACATTATTATTTCTAGAAGTCATTTAGTTAATACATTTTGTAAATACAGTTCATAGAAAATATTTATTTTATGCTTTTCAGTGGATTACTGATTTATCCGTGAAAATTATATTTGATAATCTCACAGTGAAAATTATCAAAATATAATTTCACACTTTTCAAAGATGAGATAACTTTTTTAAGATTTTCCCCATGCGGTACCTCAATTATATTATTGTTGACAATTCTGACATTGTCAGGGCTGTTTAGAGAAATTGATAAATAACTGAAATTTCAAAAGTAATAAAAAGAAGAAAACTTACTTCAATTCATTCAAATTACCAATCACCAAATATCGTCTATAAATTTTTGTCTGAAAAATACAATTCCTTCCACATGCAGAACTGCTCTTGATGACATTTGGGCATATTTAAGTATCCTACTTATAACTTGAAAAGCATTGACAGACATCTGCCCGAAGAATAAGTAAATAACCCAACGTTCGTAAGTTTGAAAGGCCCGTTTCAAAAAGTCCATGTGTTCCAATTTCCTAGTCGTTTTTTGAATGTTTACACATCTGTCAACACTTATTAATTGTCTGTAACAATCCTCAAAAAAGTTTTCTTTCTTTTAAAAGATGTATGACTAACAAATCCAAATGATATTCCTCTGAATAAAGCACAATTTTTTTCCTCCCATGAAATAAACAATTTTTAAAAATGGCTGCCGCTTACATTACACAGAGCCAAGTCTAATATAAATTCGCCGTAAGTAACAGAAATATGGATGGATGGTTGGACTTTCTCTCCTACTAGAATTGTTTGTTTTTATTACTAATACAAGCGATCTTTCATATTATTTGAATAAAATGAATAATATCATCGCCATTTAACGTTGATTGGCAAACTTATTTTTCAGCCCAAGACTTCTTGTATTTTATGAGAAATTCGACTAATAGAGAGGCTACCAATGGGGAAAACAGATTTCAATATTAAAGTTGATATCAAGGAAATTTCGTTTTAACTTGTTTTTAAGCATAAAATAAAAAAGAAAATATGTTTGTTTGTTGTGTAAGATGTAATTTTATTTCATCTCGTGAACTTTAAAAACAGTATTCTCACTCGTGGCTACGCCACTCGTGAGAATACTGTTTTTTAAAGCTCACTCGATGAAATAAAATTTCATCTTACACACAAACAAACAAATACCCTCGATATATATGCACAAAGCATTTGTTGGTAGCAAATATAATTAATTATACTATTATTGTTGTTAATTAAATGTGTTGTGTAACGAACTATTTAACATTGCGAATTGTATTATGTGCTTCGGCTAACGATTTGGGATTACAGGGGCGTACATGCAAGACGTATTATTCATGCTCTTTTGAAATTATCTGGTTTTATATTGACCTGTATGAGTTTAGATTATCTCTATAATTATTCTTACTTAAAAGCACACTAAATTTCTTTTTTTCTCTCTCTCTCTCTCTAATTTTGTTAAGTACACTAGTATGATTTATACTAAAAAGTCTCTATATATCTTGCTGATCATATTAAAAATTGTGTCTTATGTATAATATACTATTTATATGCATGTGTTTATGTATTACTGTACATTTAATTTTTTCAAAGGATAACTAGCATAAAAATGTTAATGGAGACACTAAAGTGTGCTATTGTTCATTTCCTTTTCATAACATACAATAACATAGTAATGATTTGAACACATTAACTTTAAGGTTTCTTTTCCATGATATGTCAATAAAAAAGTTTAGTCTTTTCTTGATACTTATATAGATTATATTTAACTATATCATCAGATGAATAATGTGCGTATCAAATCTTAGTTGAAGGATTCCCACAAAATTACTGAATCCTCATGCTCTTTTGAATCAAAACACAATTCATCGGCTGATAAAGTGTTATCGGAAGTTTGTTTGTCATATTGAATCTGTTTATAGTATATCCCCTTGGTGTATTGTCATGTACCCTGGGAAAGAAATAAAGAGATCCGTTCTGTTAAAAAAAAATGATCATAGTGTGTTAATTTTAGACAATACGAACTTAATTTGACTTTTAATAGAAACGAAGTTTCAAATACCTAGTTTATTCATTCTTTTATTCAAATTAGACATATTCAGTAAAAATTTCATAGATTCCTATACATTTCTGTGATTGCCTCAGAACTCTATATCTTTTTAAGTCTTCAGAAATGTCAAATCATATTTCATGCGCTGAACGCAGTTATAAAGGTAGGTAAATGTAAACAAAGTTGTATTTTTACTTCCATACAAAATGCTAATTCACTATAATTATACCAATTGCCAACAGAGCTAAAGATGCAAAATATAGTTCATGTATGTAGTACATTAGAATATTTTTGGAGACTGTAACCAGATACCAAAAACCAACAGTTTTTGAGAAATAAAATAATAGCATTTCTGATAGCATTTCCGAGGAAAAAATGGGCCTTTAAATATTTTACTCAAGGATGAGCAATGTATATCTTAATGTAAATGTATTTTTATGGCTTTGCTTGAAACTGTAAAGTTCCAAATTTGTTTGCATACTTTTATATATAAAAGTTAATGTAACCACAAAAAATATGTTAAGATCTAATATGAATTTACATGTATAACACAGATTCGATAATTATGTATATTGATAAAAACTTGTGTTGTTGACAGATTTTTTTTTTTGGAAAACTTAAAGATTTAAAGCATTTTACATAGATTTCAACATTTTTAACTAGCAAATGCTAACGAAAACGGACTCCATGCATAATCTAATGTTGAAGAATATAAGATTAGTAACGGGCAAAATAACATTTACAATTTTTTTCTTTCTTTATTACTACATAATTATATTCATTTGAATTATAGAAAGAATAAACGGTTTTTTTCATATCCGTTACCATAAAATTAAGTCCGTCATCAAACTGACATCTTGGAAAAATTTGAAGTGGATCCTGTATACAAAAGGTTCCTTTAAAAACGCCAGGAAAATATAGATTCAGTCGTGGAAAATAGCAATCATTTACAGAAATACTTTGCATAGCAGGTATGAAATAGAGTCACTAACTTTTAAGAATACCAATTAAGTATTTTTTTCTGGCCCGGATATGGTTATAAAATACTTAAAAGCTTTGTAATCAGAAAGCAAAACCGGTATATAAGTGTGCATTAATAAATTCTTACTTCTTCATTTAGTTTTGTCAATATATAGATTACTATTTACAAATTCTGCAAATGGATTATAATAGTAAACATAACCATCTAAATATTACCCATACGCCCCAAAATATGCAGTTACATCATACAAATGTACTTAAAAGCTTTTCATATATCCTGCTCCCTTTTAACAAATGAACGTCCAGTGCTTCCTTGTTATAAATCAACTTGTCAAATTGTTAAATCGCACACATTCTAATCATAGTATACTTTTTACCTTTTACTGGCATCCACAGGTTTAATATCATATATCACAATCGCCAATGTAAAACATCTTCAGATGTGGCTTCTTATATTCAGAGACTACAATGCAGTTATTCCGTTTGTCAATGCCGAGACCCTGTGGTGCTGATAGACCGTCATTTTTGTTTAACAGTTCACCTAGAAATTCCCCATTTTTACTTACAATCACAATATTGTTTGACAAATGACCAGAAACAAAAAGATTCCCATTTGGCGTGAAGCAAATTCCCCATGGAAATTTGCATTTTGATGTGTTTGACACCCACTTCCGCTGTCCTTCCAAATCTAAACAAATGACACCGTTGTTTTTATCTGTGATGAATGTTCCTTCGCCATTTACTATAATGCTTCGTGGAATACTGAAATAGTTTCCATTCAAATCTTGATGGTACTTACAGAGTATTTTTCCTTTCAAATCAAACACATTTAATTGCCCTTGCTCTTCTCCAATCATTCCACCACCTGTAACATAAATCTTTTCATTAAGACATGCGATACCACGACAGGGTATACGTGTATGGAAGCTAGTTTTTGCTTGACATGCATCAGAAGACATAAATTGAACCTTTTTCAAGTCTGTCAAAGTAAAGGCAATATCATGTTTATTGATCTCACAAAGTCCCCAAACGAATCCTTCTACTGTCAAACTTCCCATGTCTTGTAAACAGGTATCAACGCGTATTATGTTCCTGTTATTGTAGTCAGTTGATAAAATTAAGAGAGAAGCGTCGTCTTCTTTCACGCATATATTTGGAACATTAAAGCAATTTCCAGAATCTCTGATCGCTAAAGTACCATATAATCGGCCTTCATTAAGAGATCTGTAAATGGCCTCCATGATTTCATTTTGAAACTTACAGTCAGTTGTCAATTTGTCATCGAACACACAAGATTCGATATGTATCTCATTTAGCATACGTTTACCTTCTAATACTTTCTTATATTCAGCGATATCATTGTTTTCATTTACACAACTTGCTGACATACAAGCTAGCCTTGACAGTAGCTCATTATACCTTTGGATATATTCTTGCGCACTGCAAATTTCAGGTGCTAATCTGCTTTCGATATCTGTCTCGGCCTTGGCTACAACACTTTTAACACACTCTATGATAGATTTTTCAAACATCTCTAAACGTTTCATGCACGTCGTTCTTCTGGTTTTAAGTTTGAGGGCGTGGGCAGTGTATTCTTTTAGTACAGATTTTATTTTTTCCATCCTTCTATTCAAATCATCATTTAATTCTACAAGTGTTCCATCATCTTTATATTTCTGTATCAAATCAGGCAAAAAATCGACATTTTGACATGATCTGAAAGAGAAAAATATAGTGCTTTGTCCGTTGCAAATTAAATCATTACAATGAAGCATATTATCTCTGTAAAATGCATTTATATAAGCTAGCAGGTGATTAGTGACTTATTCCCAGCCTTACTTAAGAAGCTGGATAGCTTCCACACGAGGTTCAGGCTACGGATCCGACTGCGCTTGACCTTTCTTACTAGTCATTGTGTGCGACAAAGATTTACTTTTTGTCTAAAATCATGCTTATAATGAAATTATATCGATGAAGACTAAATAGGCGAGCTTTTGACTATTTCACACACTGAATTAAATTGAATTCCTGATTCTCGAATTCGTCCTGTTCTAACTGTTTCATCAGAAAAGGTAGTGTGGAGCCGAGTCTTATACGCAAGAAAGCGTACAAACTTTTTTTCGCATGTGCGTACTGCTTAACACAAGAAGATCACAATTTTTTCAAAGAAGCTTCAAATTAGATTAGTACGACTAGCACAGCAGCTACGGCAAGATAATAAGCCTCTGTCTTTTAAAACCATTCATCTGACTTGAGAAAATCATATTGTAAAACATGGAGGCATTTTTTACGTGCTGTTGTGCTTTCATTTCCCAAAATGTGCGTTTTTATCTCTCTAGTGTGCAGTTTATCAATTTATACTTGTATATAGATCAGAATAAGAGTAAATGGTAAGGAAATTGTTCCATAACCTACAGACAGGCTAGTCGTCCTTATTTTATGCTTTCTGGTGGAAATTTTGATATTCTTATATATTAAACAGTATGCACATGCGCAAAGCAGTCTGAATGTTTTTGGACTGAGTTAAATAAATATCATACAAGACTCCACACTTCCTTGAAACTGAGGGTTCTGTGTTCCAATCCCAAAAGGGTCGAGAATTTTCTTCTTTTTTTCTTTAACCATAATTTATATATCTATTAAATCATTTTTGGAAAGATAGAAGTGTTTAATTACACTTATATTAATCATTATAGCTATACGTATATTGGCTTAATAATACTAGATTTAATTACAAATATGGAAGCAGATATTTTAAAAGACTAATGAAATCAAAACGACACCATTAAAATATCCTCAATTAAATGGACTTTAGTAGGCTCTGTAAGGAGGAAAATGACCAAACATGTGTAAAAAATAGGTTTGGTAAGGTAAAATTTTTATACATTCTTCAATCATTTTGAGAAGTAATTTTGCTTGTTGACTTTACTTGTTACTTGTAACATTAATATTTTGGTTATTCTTATTTTATATCTATATTTCATATTTTAGTATTAGATCTACTCAATATATTTTCTGAACAATTTCGCACACAAACTTCTATTTGGTTTACTTTTTTTTAGATGATATACATGTACTCCTAGCTGTTAAATTAGGAATGAAATAATTTTGTGGACTATAACATTAAAAGAATATACATGTAGTTCAGAATATTAATGAAATCCTAATGATAAATCTTAAAGGCCCATCATGACCCCAAAAAGCTTTCATTTTTATTTCTCATTAGATCTTTATTTTTGATGTCCAGTTATAGTTTCAAAAAATTTACTCACTGGCCTATTGCCTGAACTGTCTTTTGCTTCTGATGCCTTTTGGCAAAGTGATTTAGTATTTTGTATAAAGGTCAAAATACTAACTTGGTTACATTTTGCTTCATTTATCAAAAATATTTTTACATTCAATGCTCATCTCTTCAAATTATAAAACTCATTTTTGAAAAAAATCATCTCTGAGCCAAAATGTGTTTTAATGAGAAAAACTGAAAATATAATGAAAATATGCATTCTGTTGCCTTTTTTTATTACAATCATTTTTATAATCAAAATTCGAAACGATAATTATACCTGCACATATGTATATAATGTTTACAAAATTAGACAGAATAACAGGGCCTCGCCTATTTTGTGTTCAATATATAGCTTGACAATGCATACGGTTGCATGGTATGTATATGTATATATGTATGTCAGGTCATCACCATTATCCATTATTAAGACAATAGAGAACATGTTTTAAACTTTTAAGTTAAGAGGAACGCCTCATACCGCCCATTACAGAATTACAGTGGAAAGTTTTTGGAGTTTCTCCTGTAGCTATATTATCGAATTATGACATTTATCAAAATATTATAATTACGTAGCATTCAAGATATATAGCAAATCAATTCATTCGAACCAGATATGTTACCCTCACGTCGGTATGTCTTTATACCGAATATGACTCATATCCGCGGATATGACTTCAAATACCTCGCGAATATAACTTTTAACTTTTTTATTTATGGACCAAATTTAACGATATTTTGCATGTAAAATCATTTTATAATATAAACATCGTATCAAGAAAAAATAATAAAAAATTAACTTTGTAAAATATAAGTCATTACAATTATTTAAAGTCATATCCGCGGATATGAGTCATATCGCGTTAACCAGGAACGATGGGTAAACGTTACACTAATGACATTTTTTGTACCATTCCTGCGTTAAATACCGTAAACTAAGAGAAGCACAGTATAATAAAATATAGTCTAAAAACAGTATGTTTATTGAATTTTTCTATGAACTTTTATTGTTCTCCTTTAATTGATATTCGTGCAATATGGGGAAGACAGAATGACCATCAAGAGATCTTTGTTTTAAAGACCCGATGAACGCCTGACAACATGGTATAATGTAATAATGAATAAAAATGATTTTACATATTATTATATAAATTTTAAATGACCCAACATGCACTCTACGTAATCAGATAAAGTATGTTTTAAAATGTCTAGTACTTGAATAACAGACATTACAAAAAGTTTTACTGTGAAAATACACTTCAATCTCAGACATCTATTTTAAGATGTTTGCGGGCAGTGCCTTTATCGTAAATCTCATGTCACACGTATTTGTTATAATAATTGTTACATTAATTGATTCAAAACAATATGAAAGCCTTACAGTTACATTATTTAATTATTTTACATGTGTAAGGAGCGGGATGATACTTTTAAATTATACATCTACGTGAATACAACATATCTAATATAGGACTATCAAATAATGAATTGATGTCTCCACGCGCATGTACAACCGGAACGCGAAAATGCGAAAATATAATTATGCGAAAAATGTAACAATGCGAAAAAGCGAAAATGCAACAATTCGAAAATGTAACAATGCGAAAAAGCGAAAATGCAACAATTCGAAAATGTAACAATGCAAAAATGTAACAATTCGAAAATGTAACTATGCGAAAAGGGATAAATGTGAAGAGACGACAAAGTAATACTTTGTCGTCTCTTATGTGTTTTCGCATTTTTGTATTATTGAATGAATTGATTTGCTATGTATTTATGTGTCGTATTTTCTCCCTCCTTCTGTCGTATTTTCGCTTTTT